TGCTTTAGTTCTTTCCATATTCAACCAATTAATTACATTTATATATATATTCATGTGTTCATTTCTTGATTAAATTTTTTTAAGCTTATCAAATTCATATTGAGGGACGGGACCTTATGCATTTTTTTTACATCAAATGTGACAGTTCTTTCAATATTGAGTAAAAAATGTAAGAAATCACGTGTATTCATGGGTATTTTGAAAAATGGACAGATTCCTGTGCAAATTTTTAGTTCCAAGAAGATTTAATACTATTGTATAAATAGGGTCGGAAATTTAGTAGGGGAAGATACAGATGATAAACTAGAGAAAAAGGTCCAAGGGAACACAGGAACTACTCTTGAGCTTGTCTTGAGTCTTATGAGAAATAAATAATAGTCTTGGGGAAATATTTGAAGATCCCCAGTGACTTCTAGATTTAGGCCCTGTAACAGATATATTTTTTTAAAATTCTGAGTGTCATTTTGTAGAGCACCTACCCTTTTTTTTGCTTCTCTTTCTGGGCTAGATATTTTCTTATTGCAATATTTTCAATTTTTTTGAAAAAAGGAATTCCATTCACATGATTAAATATTGACATGGGTTCTGTTATGCTATAGTTCATTCCATATTCAACCAATTAATTACATTTTTATATATATTCATGTGTTCATTTCTTGATTAAATTTTTTTAAGCTTATCAAATTCATATTGAGGGACCTTATGCATTATTTTTCTATCAACTGTGACAGTTCTTTCAATATTGAGTAAAAAATGTAAGAAATCACTATCTCTTTTATATTATATGTGAAGGAGTAAATTTATCCCAATGCTTTTGGCGGGTGACCCCAGGTTATTTTCCCTTTAGAAATAAATTATTATTATATTATAATTGGATATCTTTATGTTTCTATATTCATTTTTCTTTATTATATTTTTATGCTGGGTTGCAATTTATCTGACATTTAATAATCTGACAGGACTTGACATGGTAATATTGCAGGAGGTATCACCTTGAGTTCAGCATAAGTTGTACAAAGATCCCATAAAACACACCAATCACTTCCAGAACACTTCCAATTCACTTCAACTCATACATACAGGCCTGATACAACCAACATCCAATACCCTTACAACCTAAACTATGGGAACACCTCTGTGATGGCACATGCCAGGCAAGTGCCAAAAATGGTCCCCTGGTGATTGAACTGGATAACTGCAAATTTTGATGAAGCAACATTGTCATTGCCATTCCATTTTCATTTTTTATCTTTATTAAGTCTGAAATAATAAGAAATCCTACTTTGTCTTCAAGATGTTTGAATATACCATGTATGGTCTTTCAGGAGCTCTCCATAATATATGTTCTGAATTCATATCTTGAATTCAATTCTCATTGGGGTAATTATTTCTTCAATTTTTAATTATTTATGTTTGAATCAAACAATAGTATTTCAGGAAATCATCCCTTAATTTGTTGTTACCATAATACTTTCATGAGGGGTTTTTGTTGCTTTCTTGATATAGGGGTTTTTAGAAATAATAAATTATTTCAAAAAATAGAATTGTCAAAATATCCATATGATGGAAACAAAAACTTGTGATGGAAATAATTAAATGGGTGAAAGAAATAAAAAGAAAGGAAGCTAGCATCTGAGGAGAGGCAAATTGTATTCATTAGTTCCAGAATTATTTTTGATGGACTGAAAAAAACAACTCATAAATGGAAACAATATGTCAAATTTTATGAAAAATATGTGAAAAAAAATCCAGGTTCTTTGATTTAAAATTTTTAATCTGATTTCTCACACAAATCAGTGAATAAACCTAAGAATGAAATGCAATAAAATATTGGAAATGAAAAATTTTACATGTAATGACATTTTTTTCTTGGGAAATTACCAGCAATAATTTTAAGAAAATATACGATAACACCAATGGTTCCCCCAAAACCATTAATTAAATAATTTGAAGGAAAAAACTTATTGATGAGTTACTTCAATTATTTTTCCAACTGAAAGACATTCTAAGTGGGATCAGTCTCTTCATTTCATGTGTATGAACTCTTTCTGAAATATCCAATATTTATGTGAATGGGCAATTTGATTTTTCTTTGGGAATTATAAACAGTACTTGGCCAAATTGAGAATCTTTTTGCCAGGTTAAATCATGGTATTTGAGACAAACAAAAACAGTTCAAACTTCTGAAAACAAACAAAATTTCAAATCTAACAGTAGAAATCATGCAGTGTTCTCCTAATTTCTTGAAATCATATAAATTGAATTTTATGATGAATTTTAATTGAGGTTGAAATTTCCAAAATCAAAGGGAAATTACCTCCAAAAATTTCTGACAAGGATATGTGCTTATTTCAAATAGATAAAAATCTCTAGTGTAGTTGGTTTATTAGCACCATGCCAAAGTTGATGTCAAAACATGTCAGGTGACGTGAAGGGAACACCAGATTTGATTCCATCACTACTACCTTATTTTTGATGTATGAACCTAGGTTTTCCTTTCACTTGTGAGTCAAGCCCCCTTCTGCTGTGGCCTTGCTCAGGTACCGGTTGGGCCTGATGATGCAAAGTGGATGAGCCACTGGTACACCCAGCCAAATCATAAGTCCTCCTCAGCAGTTTCT